TGCTTTTGATAGAAATAAAGAATATCTTGCTGTTACCATCAAGCCTTGAAACTGACTTCCAGCTAATGACCCAAATAATCTTTACTTGAAATTGTATAATTGAGATCGAAGGCTGTCTGGGGCTTCTAGCTGGTACACAGATTCCACATCCATGAGCTTTAGAATATGGTCATTGAGCTGAAATGGAGAAGGTTAAAACTCTCATTTTCATTACCAAGCTCCCCCCATCTCCCAATACAAATGTGACATTTCAATTTTACACAGTCCAACTCTTCTTAAATCATCTGTATAAAAACTTCAGATCTTGATTGATGGTGGTTGAGCTATTGTCTCCTAAAGCACCCAGTTCTCATTACCGTTTAAGACATAGCTTATTAATGATGGACCTGAAGTGCTTTCCTAGTGGGTCATCAGCAATCAACTGTGCTGAGAGATCAAAAGACTTGGTTTGGCATGAAATTTCCAGGCCAAAGCCATTTTTGGATAATGCATTCAGCATCTTGGGTAAAATACAACAGTGTTTTGAGAGTGATGCAGTATCTGACAACAGATCCCTGTCACCTGGGTCATGATGATGAAGATGCAGCGTGCAAAGATGCTTCAGCTCTAATGGCGGCTGACCTTGGAAATTAAGGTGTCATCAGCATGCATTATGTAACCTGCATGTGCAGAGTACGCACCTCTGTATGGTGTGGTGTAAAAGACAGCTGTTTCCTTAGCAGACACTCAGCTTGGAAGGTATAAGATACCTTCTGTTTTGCTTTTCAGGTGGTTACAGTGGATGTGCCCAACAGTTTTTCCTAATTAACCATTTCCCCTTTCTCTGCCCACTTTAGAGCGAGTTCTTTTCCCTCTTGCTGTGCCTTCTTCCTGTTCATCCTGGCAGCTGGCTTTATAGCACCAGAGACAAGCTTTTAATTTGCAACCTTGAATAGCAATAACAATTTTGTAACCATTTTTACAACCATTTTAGAACCAGATGCTATTGCTAAATAGATGCCTACAGCCCCCACTGCATATCAACACACACAAGTTACTTGCACTTCAGGATATCTTGCAGAACGTGAACATGTTCTGCCAATTTAATCCACATTAGAAATTGGATAACAGACCATGAGGGATTACACTGTACACAAGAAAAAGTCAGCTGAAGAAAATGCCCTTTTAACAGATGGATGAAGACTTCTTTCCATCTCTGGTCTAAACAGACAATGCACTTGTAGCACTAGTGTCCCTTTGCCTTATTAAAAGTGATCTTAAGCTTCTGGTGGCTGGTAACACATTTGCACTGACTCCAGTCAAACTCTTAATTATATTAGAATAGATGTTATGAATTTAGCCCCTTTTTGAACCTAGCAGACTAAGTATAAATTGTGTGTGATGTACCTATCTTGTGTTCCATGGCACTTTACGGGCAGTGTAAGATGCTTGTGTTTCATGCTTGCCAGAGACCTGCATGTTTCTATTACTCCTGTTAGTATTTTAAGTATTGTATGGTAGGCTACCAAAGTTATGTGGTAATGGTTCTGCTTTGTCACTGGGCTAATGGAAGCAAGAAAATAGCAGATATATCAGATAATATATTTCTGGTTTAGCTTCCTGAGTGAATAACCATTTAATAGAAATTTAATAATATGCAGATACAAGTTCCCCACAATCATTTGGCAGCAATAAGCAAAATAATGACAGAAGTCAGTGGCGAGTGCACTTGCTGATTTATTTTCATATAACTTTGGTCGCAGAATTATATTGCTTTTAAGCCAGTAAAGCTCTAGTAAGGAAGATGATAAGATTTTGCATTCACTTCAGAATCAAGTGGTGAAAGACCTTGGAGCTACTCCTCTCCTTGGAGCACCGGCTGCAGCCCTGGTGTCAAAATGGGAACTCATGGTGCTCTTAAGTGTGGCCATCAGTACCTTGCAGGAGGGCATCCAAAATCACCCGACACCTTTAGGAGCTCTTTTCCCAAAGAAAATCGGAGGCATTTGTGCTTCAGGATGCCCTTTTGTAACTCTGTGTCCCTGAGCAGCGTAGAAGTCCAAGGGTAACGTTTGCTGCCAGCAAGGTACGGTAGGCATTTCAGGCTGCAGTTAATAGAGCTGAGTGCTCTGCCTCCTGTCCCAGGCAACAGTGTTGTACTTAGACTCACAATTTTCCAATGTCACAAAAAATTGTTTTAGAAGACAAAAATACTCTCCCCAAAATGATATGTAAAATATGTTCCACTGTGAGCAGTGCTTTTTAGTGCTTCTTTGGCAGGAACTACCTTCTTTCTTCACAGTAGGAATCACAAAATTCGCTTGGGTACTTGTCATTTTTTTTTTCCTGCTCCAGCCTCAGAACGAGTTCGGCAACGAGGCACCTCGGGTGTTGCACGGAGGAGAAGAAAGCTCGATTTGCCTGGCTTCCTTTGCCGCTTCATCTGCATAGGCAGAGATGCCTGTCTTTCTCCTCCTGTTTATTGTTTAACTTTATCTCTCACTTTCAGTGCTGTAAATTAAAATGAGATGATGACTTTATGATGATGAGTTCATTACACAGTAACACTATTGTGTATTGATTACGTTTGTGCTTCATTTGCTTAACATGTAACAGGGTTTATTAGGGCTTTACAGGCATTGTTCTTGCTAAGGGAGGGCAGAGAAGTGCAAAATGCATTTGAGTTTAAGTCAGTGAAGCCAGTGCATCTGTGCTGATTTACACATGCCAGGAACTCGGCATAAAGAAAAGTAGGATAGTGGGTTGGAACGCGAAGGTAGAAAGGGAATGAATCTGGATCCCACAGAGCAGGAAGAGTCAAGCACAAAGACTTTAAAGATTGTACTAAACTTTGAACGCGGGGTTACTTAGTATGTGTTAGAGCCCATCTTTGATACTGTTGCTCGGGTTTATTAGCACCTCGCTGCATGAACAGACCTGTAAACGTTAATCCTGTCACCTGTGAAAAATGGTACAGTGAAGGGCAAATAAAGAAATTGCATCATGTTTTTGGGAAAGAGCGGCAGGAACAATGAGGGAAGTGAGAGCATTTTCCATATTTGCTTTCAGTAAATCACAGGGAAAGCTGTCAGCTTTCCTCACAGTACAGAGGGGACACTTTCTGGTTACTTTTATGCTGAAAAAAGTCTTTCTCCACAAATTGAAACTACTAGAATTACTTTTAGAGTGAGATGCTGCCTGCTATACAAGAATGTATCAGAGTTCCTAGCAGAAAAGAAAATTTGATAGGTGGTGTCATGAGGGAATGCTCTAAAAACCAGAAATTGAGCCAGTGGCAAGTGTTCAGATGTACCAACTGATAGCGATGCTATTTGGAATCATGTGCAAGTATTTAAGAAGCTATGAATGTAGATTTTACAGTTTTTCATGGCTTGTTAGATGTTACTTTTAATCAAAATTGGGGCCATAATGGATTAGGTAATCCTATATAGCTGGGGCAACACAGAGAAATCATCACTAGTCATGTTTTCAAATGTTCTTCCAAGTCCTACTTTTTCCCCAGAGCAGAATTGCTAACAGATGCTGTATGGGTTTTTTCATAAGAATATCATACAGACAGATCATTGCTATATCTCTAATCTGGACTCTTTCCTGTATAAGATTATTGTTTTCATTTTTAAGCCCCTTTTCAATGAAAAGCCAAGCTTTTAAACCAGAGGTTTCTAAGAAATAGTAATACTCTGAACTCATTAATATGATGGAAGGATGTATTTACAGATGATCCTTTATTTAATACATTATTTTCTTGGGGGCTATCTCCTCTATATGCTGTGGCCTGTAAACTCTGAAATTAAAAAAAAAAAAAAAAAAAGTAGTAATTCATTCCTTGTTGTTTGTCAACATTAGCATTCCCACTACAGTTTTTAAAGGTTTTCTTGGGAGATGAGGACTGTCACACGACCTTAATCATTGCTACCATAGTCAAGATTTCCTCTTAATGTCTCTGTGAGAAGCATGACACTCCTGGCTTTATAGCAGCACTTAATGTCATTCTAAGGTGTCATTAGTAACTAACCTTCAACATTTCTTTGCTGAAGCTTGGATCTCTGACACTAAGCAGTGCAGGAGGTTTTAGCTGCATAGCTCCTGTTAAATTTACTGAAAGTCACATGGATTGTCTTCTGCTTTGGAAATAAAAGAGCCAGATTAAGTAGAGAAATTGTTAATTTGAACAAGACTTCAGAGGGTAAAAAAACCCAAGTTATTGCTCCAGAGGAAACCCTGGTGCTACAACCAACAACAACAAGATCATTTTGATGGTGAGATTTGACAAATCGAGTCTTTAGAGACAGGGCAACAAGCCATTTGTTAGAACCAACTGATAGAAACATGAAAACTAAAAAAAAGAAACCCAAACCAAACCAGCTTTCATCTGCTCAGAAACCATCTCCATGCAACACAAAGCTTCCAGCAAGGCATGTCAATAGTAGTTTTGGATCATAGTATTTGAGATTTGGATCATAGATATTGAGTTTTGGGTATTACGGATCATGGTATTACAGCAGCACAGCCTGATAAAAAACCATGCTTTTCCAGACATTGTGACAAGTGGACCCTTCTCGTACTGTAGGCTCAGAAAATGCCTACCCCAGCGGAGCACTCTAGTTTATTCTGTTTTAAATGTTCATATGTATCAATGAAATACAGCATAGTGTGGTTGATTGCTTGTGGTTTTAAAATCAGTTAAGTTTTGAAGGTTATTTTACAAAAAACACTACTGTTCCATACGATTACACTGGAACAACAGGTAAACCCAGTAACTCATCTAGCAGCTGTGTGGCTGTCTTCATCAGGTTTCTTCTGCATATAAATTAATTTTTGCTGTTTACAAATATTGTAAGCTACTCGCCCTTCAGTTTTCAGAGTATTAAATGAGATTAAAGTCAGAATTTTTTGCATTTAAATTTCATGTCTTCTGTATCCAGTACACTAGGCAGCAATAGATTTAATCAGCTGTATGTCTAAAGTCTTACAAGTATGTTCTCTCATTCTTTCATGCAGAAATACTGAATGGAGGGGTGTATGTTGGCCAGAACAAATTTCTTTGCTTCGCAGACACCATTCATTGGCAGGATATCGTGCGTAACCCTTGGGCCTCCAACTTCACTTTGGTTCCCACAAATGGCAGCTCAGGATGTAAGTACCGGTTTTATTCTTAGCTTTGTCATCCACTCAGCATGAAACAGTATAAATATGACCACAAGTTTTCCCTAATCCTCTGTTACAGAGAATTGTATTTGTAAATTTTCCCTGCATTCTTCGAAGTTTGTACATTGCTTGTAGGAACACTTAGTTTAATCTTAAAAACACTTTGTCTATAGAGAGTATTTGTGAACATCATATTTTTTTTTAATTTTCTCTCATCTGTTTTCTCTCGTATGCGTATTCTATTTTCTATTTATTGCTAAAGCCACAGTGCTGCCATGGAAGCACAGACGTTTATTGTTTGCTTTGCATTTGTTCCTGCTGCTCAGTCTGGTCCTTGAGTCACAATGGTCTGTCTATGGCATCATAATTAGCTGCTGGAGTAATTATGGTACAAGCTCATGGATATTCTGACTTTAGATGGGAAATGAACCTCTGAGAAATAGTTATCCTGTTGTCTTGTGCGCGTCTGTGAAGAAAGAGAGAGAATTTGCAGAGGGATAGGGTGGTCTTCACAGTATAGCCAATATTTCTCTGTTTTTAATATGTTCTCTCTATTTTAATGCTCTCTATTTCGAACTTGGAGTATCAGTGTACTTTAATTAATTTGTCTGATCCATGTCTCTCCCTTCCCTAGAGTTACTCACCTTCAGTAGTATTTTGGTGATTCTTGCAGCTATAATGAATTCTAGTGAATGGTGGTACCAAGTGTTTAGGTAAAATATTCTATAGTATAGTAAAGTGCATTCAAAATTAATACCATGCTATTAAACAGTACCTTCAGGATGTGTCAACATGGAAATTCAGGTATAGGCTGGGAAGTTTATATCTGATGTCAGGAGTGACACCACAGCAGACATACTGTTTGAGCATTCTGGATAAAGGAACATTCTGGATCGCTTACCATATCCTACGGTGTCCGAGGGATGTATAAATGACTGATTGCTTCCTTAGCTTCCGCTACAGCGAAGAAACAACTTCAGTTCTTCAGCTGTATGTTAGGAATTCAGAGAAAAAAATTAGACTCTGGGTAAAGACCATTTGATGAGGCCCCGTAATTTCTAAGCAGCAACTTGTTTTTAACAAAGTGCTTTGTGGTATAATAGATTTTTATGTAAGGCCGACTTGCTTTTGTATGTCTCACCTGCTACCCTCCAAACCAGAGTACAGCTACTTGAGATACGGCTTCCTCCGGGAGCCTGCCAAACTCCACTGCTCGTGGATCTTCCAACTCCAGAGCTGAGACTCATCTCTTCTGCTTCTGGCTGGAAACCTGACATAGTTGTAATGCAGCCAGCTATCTTATTTGCATATTAAAAAGCCTCATCACTGGTTCTAAGCAGAACTGATAAAACCTTTGAAGGTTAGGGAATGCCTGTACCCTTTTATGAGTCATTACTTCAGCAAGAAAAAGAGTTGGTTTGTTCTGTTATGGATTTTCTTTTAACCTTTGCCAGTTAAAGAAAAAATGATTCTGCAACACCAAGGTAATAAGCTCTTTTAAAAAAACAACCAGCATAAATACTATCTTTTTGAGCTAACAGAAGTTTTGCTGGTTACTTCAGAGGAATCGAAACAGGATCAGTGCTGAGTACTTTTGGAATCACACCCTGAAAGTAATAAAGGCAAATACTAGCACCCACAGCAAGATGAAAGGATGTATGTACCTATGTCCAGTTTTCTTAAAATGTTTTTTCATTCCTTTTGAGTTGTTTTGAAACATAGGAAAGGATCAATTTGTGCTTTGTCATTTGTGCTTGATAAACCCAATAAACAGCATTATTTCAGTGATGATTGAGAGCTGTGTACCAAGGCAGCTTCATTAAGATAGCCACCCAAATTTTAGTTTACTTTTCCTTACTTGAGTTGTAGCAGGGCGCAGTTGGACTGTATTTAATTTAATAAACCTAGGTTTCTTTCTCCAAGACACTGGATTCCATCTCAGTACTATTCGTGAGTCCTGTGAAATCTGATTAAATTAGCTAATCCAAACAATTTCTGTCTTCGCAGCTTACATAGGTGAAAATCTAAACTCCGTTACACAGAAAGCCAACAAATGGCTAAAATGGTTTAACAAAGGTGCTAAGACTTTGGGAAACAAAGAATTCAGGTACAGAAATCAGCATTTAAAGTAGCCTAAAATTAAATAGCTGTCTGTGTGTGCGTACATGTATTACACACACGCACACACATGGTGGGGGTGTATATATATAGTGTTCAAATGAAATCACTCAAATATGGAACCTTATAACTACCTGTCAAGAGGCAGGAGAAAGGGAATGTGATACACTGGTAGTTTATGAAAGAATTAAGACAAGTTTTTTGTACTGGTGCAGACAGGACTGGGAAAAATGAACATTGAATTATAACCCTAGAGTGCAAATCGGTATAGAGTATCATTAAATAAGGTATATGCTGCTCAAGTTTGGCTCATGTCACTTTTCATAATCTGCTAGGCAGTGTGGGTGCTTGCTGGGCATTTTTTCCACTGCTACAAATGATGCTCTGTGGATTACAAAGTCTTTGGTACTTTTCTGCATAGACTGTGACTCGAGCTTTTTTGGATCCAGCATGTATATGTATTTACTGTTTATTTTACATGACTGTATTAAATTACCTGAAGTCTCAGGTTCCTCCTATCAAATGCAAATCTTGTCTAAGTCCATTGGAACTAAGTACATGTTGCTTGGCATTACCAAGAATATCCAAAGTGCAAGAGATGTCCAGGAAAGCCCTCTGGGACTTTCCCTGTCAGAATATCTTGAAAAGAATGAGTGGTTTTTGCTGTTTATCTAAAAACCTTTACAGGAGAGGGAGAAGGCTGTCAGAGAGGTTGCATCAATCTGGGAATGTAAACCTTCTGTATCAAGCTCAGCAAAATCCATACTAGTAGTAATTTAGGAAAGTCTGTGTAAATGTGTGATCATGCAAGACCTGGGTAGATACATCGGCCTGTGTGCCGTGTTTTAGCCGTGACTGGCAGGACTGGAGGGTAGCTTATGCCCCAGGAATTGTTACAGCTGTTCCGCTGCGATCGCCTCAGTAGTGCTCCCTGGCAGAGAGTATTTTGGGGACAAAAGGCTGTGAACTGCAGCATGTCAGAATCGGATGCTTCATCATTCCAGCAGGTCCTGAAGCCTAAACCACAGTTCGGTGTTTTTTCCAAAAGCCATAAAATCTCCCCCAAAGTGTCTACATGTCCAAAAGAACAAGGGCTCATCTTCAGAGGAGAGCCCAACACGCAACACTTGCCGGGTTTTTGCCGATGCCAGAGTGGACCTCAACAGGTTGATACAGATACGCTGTTGTGTTGGGAGCGGCCGTGCGTATGCGCTCAGGGCTCAGCCGTGCTCCTAGTTCATCTGCCCCGTGAGGGAGCTGACACTGCAAGCTGCCGGTGCTGCTCTCTTCCCCAGCCAGACAGAAGAGCTTGATAATGGTCCCACTTCGGGGATAATTTCGCTTGCGACCCTCCCTGCTGCTCCAAGGCAATCAGCAGAGGAGGAAGGCAAAAGGGTGGAGTGAAATGAAGACACTTTGAAATAAAATCAGTCCCCTGCCTCTGTGCTTGTTCCATACCTTGGATCTGCCAATTCCGGCAATCCCCTTCACTTACATCAGTGCTAGACAGAAGAGAATATGGCCAGTGGGAATAAAGCTTTTCTGATTCCCTTCTTCGTGGGCTTTCATTGCCACATCGGTGTTAAGAAGCCAGTTGAAAAGACTGTAGCACCTTAACACCGCTATGATAGAAATACTGCAGACATATGAATCCTAAGTGCTGCCTCGCCTTTTTTCTTTTTCTTTAGTCTGAAATGCATTCTACCCATTGCTTCATGTTCTGATCAAATGCATGCAGAAAAGCTTGTATTAGAGGCCTTTGAATTACACGGTCTTACTGTTAAGATGAATACAGGCACAGTGGCTGCCGGCGCAGAGCTCAGCGTGTATGGCTGAAATGTAATAAACAAATGTTGTACCAGGGACCACACGTATTTCAACTCTCTGAGGACAGATATCTCTCTGCCTGGCATTTTGACTGGTACTCTCAAATCCTACTAGTATTTACTGTTTGCAGACCCTTCCCATACTGGTATCGTGTAGCTGAAGCTTTTAAAATTAATTGTAGTTTGAAAGCAGCCTTCTCGTCCGTTACCTGAAATCAGTGCTATCGGCCCAGGGTTTTTAAGCTGGGCACCTTGCAGTGGGAATCTCAAAAGTGCTTAAGTGTCTAAGGAACAACATTTTCCCTTTAGGTATATGTTACTGAATTTGTTTCTGCAATCCTGAAAATCTGTTTTCTCTCCTTCCAAAAATAAGCATTAGCCAAGCATGCTAACGCTGTGCTTTGCAAGAGCATATTCCCCTGTTACCCCGTCCATTTGTTGGATTTAGCCCCTTAACTGAAGAACTAGAGCTCTGCCCTTCATAGCTAGAAATCCAAGGTGCAGGTCCCAGTGATGGTGCAAGAAATAAAGCAGGAAGTAAGGATTAGACTTCTTGCCTAAAACAACTGTAGATTGGTAGACAAATCCTCTCTGACCAGCTTTACGGAAAGTGCAGTGAAAACTCAGCTGCTTTGGTCAGTGTCCACGATATCCTCCTCGGTTTGGTAGTTAGCAGGAACTGGACTAGCCCCGCGTTGTGCGAGGTGAGCTCTTTTGCAGGATTTGACAAGGACTGTAGCATTAAATCAGAATTTTCAGTGGAGCTTTACTTGGAGATTTTATTTCACAGAAAAGCATGAAGGGTTTGAATTACTGTGTTGAGGTTGCTTGCATAGCTAATAGCATGGGTTCAAATAAATCAATAATGCATTTAAAAATACTGAAATTATATGGATGCATGTTCATGACGGAGCTGGTAACTGTTCGGGTAATAAAGATTAAAAAAATTCCTTTCCATTTAAAGTTTAAAAAAAAATGCTTCTTTTCAAGAAATTACTCAAGAAAAATGGAGAACTGCATGTCAGCATGTGCACAAAGTTGTGA